TATTTTTGTGGTTTAAAAAAAAAACATATGGTTCAGAATGGATTAACCGTATTTACATTGAACCTTATGGGAAAATTTGATTCGGTTGGCGACCAAAATTGATTGGGGACCAAATTCGTAGGGGTCAGAATGGATTAACCGTATTTACATTGAACCTTATGGGAAAATTTGATTCGGTTGGCGACCAAAATTGATTGGGGACCAAATTCGTAGGGGTCAGAATGGATTAACCATATTTACATTGAACCTTATGGGAAAATTTGATTCGGTTGGCGACCAAAATTGATTGGGGACCAAATTCGTAGGGGTCAGAATGGATTAACCATATTTACATTGAACCTTATGGGAAAATTTGATTCGGTTGGCGACCAAAATTGATTGGGGACCAAATTCGTAGGGGTCAGAATGGATTAACCATATTTACATTGAACCTTATGGGAAAATTTGATTCAGGTCGTGACCAATTCGGGTCGCGACCAGAGTCGCGGAACGAATTAAGTTCGTGACCCAAGGTACCACTGTACTTTTATGCTTGCTTTTGATTGTAGTCCTCTGGGCCTTCAAAGCCATTTCTAAGGATTCAGTAACCTTCCTTGCTCTGATTATAGATGATCTGTCTTGATTTCACCTTCTCACAGCAGCTCTTCCCCAATCCTCCTAACATCATTGTGAAAGAACCTCTAAGTCCACAAGAGCATTGATACAGTAGGCAAAACAAAAGCTTGATGGAAGGGAGAAAACCAGGACAATGTGATCATATTTAGAGACCAACTGCAAGTGCAAGAACAGGAAGGGCATTTTGGGGGGTAGGGGTTGGTTTGTATATCAAAGGGCATAATATGAAATATACTGGAAATTTCAAAGAAAGCAGAATCATCCATAGTAATTTTGAGTCACAATACAAGTCCCAAAATAATTTAATACTGTGGACATCCTTTTGCCTCTATCCAAAATGCTCAGGGAAATCTTGATTTAAATAATGAAATAAAGGAAGAATTTAAAAAATGAAAGTGTCACAATAATGAGTAGATGACTGGATCCAGGCACAATAAAAGCTAAACTTTTTAGGTCCTTCAAATTACAGCATCCTAGAACGTTTGGTAAATTAATCAGCTAAATAAGAAATAAACACAGATTGTCTACATTCTGAGTGGCACCAAGATCTTGTGTGTGTGGTATGAGCATTGTTGAAGAGCTTGAAAACAATGGTCTCATGCCATCAGATCTGATTGTTGAAAATGCTGAAGACGTTCAGTACATTCAGATTTTACTTTAGATTGTTACCAAAATGATGGAACAGATAAAGAGTCATTTGAAAGGAAAGATTAAAACTCTTCAGAATGTTTGGGAGAGATGCATTGTTCTTTGCCAACTAATGTAAAAGTGATCAGATGGTGGATGTTTCACATTCCCATCATTTTCTCGTATGTTCTTTCTCTTTCTTTTTTTTAATAAATCTATGCTGGGTATATACAGCTAAAAGTGCATAATAGAATTAGGCCATCATTGGTCATGTTCCAGATTAATAATGGAACTTCATTAATCATTGTTTAAAGGGGAGGATCATTTGCTCATTTCAGAGAAATGTATAGGATTTTTTGGCTGAAGAGACTGATCTTTTCCAACTCTGAAATTTTTATTTTAGTGTGTTGCAGGAACAGAAAATTGGCAAAGAGTGAATACTGAGATCCCAGTAAAGTCTCCTCGCTTCGCACTTTTTGACTTAGCTGAAGGGAAATCCTACCAATTCCGTGTTCGCTGTTGTAATTCAGCTGGAATTGGGGAACCCTCAGAGGCCACTGAAGCCACTGTGGTTGGTGACAAACTTGGTAAGTGTACAGTAAAGGACAGTCAAGTATAATGTTGAATGCTGGCTTACATATTCCTACTCTAGTGCTACTTGAAAGACTGCCCTCTCTCAGGGTTTCTGCCTATCTTATAAAAGCTGGCACTCTGGGTCCCCTTGATTAAACAATGTAATCTTTCAGGACCTGGGAAGTGTGCCTTCTCTGTCATGGTGCCTTCCCTCTGGAATGAGATCCCCTGCAAAGATCCATATGGCTCCTACCCTGAGGGTGTTCTAGAAGGCCTTGAAAACCTGCTGTTCCCCTGGTCCTTGGCGTAGGGTGGATATGGTCCACTTGTTAGAAGTGCATTTTTTTATTATATCTGCTGTCCATGTGGATGTCATTTATGTATATGTCATATCATATTATATTTTGTATATTGTTTGTTTTAAATGGTAGGTCATCCAGAATTGCCTTGGAGTTGGGAAGCATCTAAATCTAAATAAATAAGTAAATAAGTAAGAAGATATAACACAGTTAAAGTAGGAATCCTATCTTCTAATAGTTTATTTTTTCCTCTAGATATTCCTAGTCCCCCAAGCCACATTATACCTACCAGAAATACAGATACGTCAGTAGTTGTTGCTTGGACAGAATCCAAAGATGCAAAAGAATTGGTGGGATACTACATAGAAGCAAGTAAAGTAGGGTCTGGTCACTGGGAGCCATGCAACAATAATCCCGTGAAAGGCACAAGGTAATAGACTGCACAGTTATGTATAATTTGCAAAAAGAAAAGGGCCAAAAAAGAAAAATTTGCATGAACATTCAGTAACTGGATCCCTCACTTTCCTCCTGAAAAGTGGCATCAGTAAAATATTTTGTTGAGTTTTAAATCTATAGAACTATGTAATTTATGGATGCCAAATAGTCTTCCTTCGCACTTATATATTGGGTACCCCAGTTTCTTATTCCCTGCATTCTATTGCTCTTGTATATATTAGATAATCTAGCAACCACATATACATACTGTAAGACACTAAGGACCTTCCTCAAGAACTCAATGGGACTGTGGAAGACAACACTGGAAGTCAACTCAAGACAGCTCACACAAGTGGTATCAAATGTGGCATATACCAAGGTAATGCACTATTCCCTTTGCTGTTCTGCATAGGCTTGAACCCCCTAAGCCAGATAATCACAAGAATTGGATATGTTCAAGAGTGGAACTACCATCAGCCTCCTCCAACACCTCCTCCACATGGATGACATCAAGCTGTACGCTAAGAGTGAATGAGACATCGACTCACTGATCCACCTGACATGGATCTACAGTGAGGACATTGGGATGACATTCAGATTGGAGAAGTGTAGCCAGATGGTAGTAAAGAGAGGGAAGGTAGTTAAGGCCGATGGGGTGGAACTTCCAGCGGCCACATAGCATACATACAAACCAGCTATAAATACTTTGACCTTCCTCAAGAACACCTTCCTCAAGAACACCTTCCTCAAGAACTCAATGGGACTGTGGAAGACCACATGGGAACCACAATGAGGAGGCAAGGAAAATAGCAGCATCCAAGTACCACCAAAGGATAAGACAGGTCCTGAAGAGCCAGCTCAATGGGAAGAACAAGATCCATGCCATTAATACATGTGCCCTGCCAGTCATCGGATACCCTGCTGGTATAGTGGTCTGGCCAAAGGAGAACATGGAGGCTGCCAGTGTGAAGACCCAGAAGCTCCTCACAATGTATGGAAGTTTCTACCCCAAGTCCAACACCCAGAGATTGTACATCAGCTGGAAAGAGGGCAGGCAGGGTCTGGTGAGTGTCAAAGCCACTAACCTGGATGAAACCCAGAACATCAGTAGGATAGCACCCAAAGATGAGCTGCTGAAAGAATGCCTGAGGCAGTAGCAGACATGGCAGGAAGTTCAAGCAGAGGAAGTGCCATGGCAAGACAAGCCCCTGCATGGGATGTACCATTGACAAATAGCTGAGGTAGCTGACATTGGGAAATTCTACCAGTGGCTGGAAAGGGCTGGGCTAAAACACAGCACTGAGCCACTGAATATAGCAGCACAAGAACAGGCACTAAGCACCAGATCCATAGAAGCAGGGGTCTACCACACCAGACAGGACCCAAGGTGCAGACTGTGCAGAGAGGTCTCAAAGACCCTGCCACATAAGGGGGGGGGGGGGGAGG